GCAACCCTCGGTGTCACGCCCGCACCTTGCTCAGCCAGTGAGCGGCCGGTCTGTATGTGGGATCCGAACCCTCGGCAGGAGCGCCACCGCGCTTCCCAAGCGGTGCACTGTAGCAGTGTGCCACCGGGCCGGCCGAACAATGCTGCTTTGAATATTCATGTAAAAGTTTTTGTGTAGATATGTTTCCATTTCTTTGGGCATATACCTATGAGTGAAATTGCTGGATCATATAAGCCCTGTGTTTAACCATTTGAAGAAATGATGAAATGTTTTCCAAAACAACTGTACCATTTTATATTCCTACCAGCAATGTATGAGTGTCCCAATTTCCCCACATCCTTAACACTTGCTACTGTCTGCCTTTTTTATTATAATCATTCTAGTGGCTATTAAGTTGTATCTCATTTATTTGCATTTCCCTGATGGCTAATGATGTTGAGCATCTTTTCATGCCTCTATTGGACATTTGTGTAACTTTGGGGGGGAAATGTCTATTCAGATCCTTTGCCCATTTTTTAGTTGGGTTGTCTTTTCATTATTGCATTCTAATAGTTCCTTATATATTCTAGAAACTCCCTAATAAGATATATGATTTACATATATTTTCTCCCATTCTGTGTGTTGTCTTTTCTGTTTCTTCATGGAGTCCTTTGAAGCACAGAAGTTTTTAATTTTGATGAAGTCCAATTTATCTATATTTTTCTTTTGTTGCTTTTTCCTTTTGATGTCATATCTAAGAAACTACTGCCTAATCCAAGGTCATGAATTAACCCTATGTTTTCTTCTAAGAGTTTTGTAGTTTTTATTTTTACATTTAGGTCTTTGACTAATTTGAATTAAATTTTGAGTATGCTGTGAGGTAAGGATAACTTCATTATTCTGCATGTGGATAACCAGTTGACTTAGCATTATTTGTTGAAAAAACCATACTTCCCCCAACTGAATTGGCATCCTTGTCAAAAATTAATTGACTAAATGTGAGCATTTACTTCTGGACTTTCAGTTCTATTCCATCGATCTCTATGTCCATCCTTATGCAAGTAGCACACTGTCTTTATTATTGTACCTTTGTAGTAAGTTTTTAAGTTAGGGAATTCTCCAGTTTCACTCTTCTTCAAGATTATTTTGGATATTCTAGGTCCCTTGAATTTCCATACAGATTTTAGGATCAGCTTGTCAACTTCTGCAAAGAAGCTAGCTAAGCTTTTTATAGATGGGGATTGTGTCAAACCTGTAGATCAATGTGGGTAGTACTGTCATCTGAACAACACTAAGTCTTCTGAGCCATGCCATGGGATGTCTTTCCATTTACTCAAGTCTTTAATTTCTTTCAGCAATATTTTGTAGTTGTCAATTTTTTTTGTTCAATTTATTTCTAAGTATTTTATTCTTTTGGATGATACTGTAAATAAACTTGTTTCCTTACTTTCATTTTCAGATAGTTCCTTGCAAATATATAGAAATAAAATTGATTTTTGTATATTGATCTTGTATCCTGCAACCTTGCTGAATTCATTTGCAAGTTCTAATAGTTTTTATGTGTATTCTTTAGGATTTCTATATCCTGCCATCTGCAAATAGAAATAGTTTTACTTTTTCCTTTCCAATCTGGATGTCTTTTATTTCACTTTCATGTCTAACTGCCTGGGTAGTAACCTCCAGTGCAATGTTGAACAGAAGTGGCAAGAATGGAGACCCTTGTCTTATTCTCGATCTTGGGAGGAAAGCATTCAGTCTTTTACCATTAAACATGATGTTAGTTGTACACTTTCCATAGATGCCCTTTATCAGGTTGAGGAAATTCCCTTGTATTCCTAATCTGTTAGGAATTTTTATGTTAAAGAGACATTAAATTTTGTCAAATATTTTTTCTGTATTTACTGAGGTGATCATATGGTTTTTGTCCATTAGCCTATTAACATGGTATATCACATTAATTTTCAGATATTAAACCAAACTTGAATTCCTGGGATAAATATACTTGGTCATGGTATATAATCCTTTTTGTATGTTGCTGCACCTAGTTGGTTAGTATTTTGTTGAGGATCTTTATGTCTATATTCACAAAAGATAATGGTCCGTAGTTTTTTATGATATCATTGTCTGGCTTCAGTATCAGGATACTGGACTCATAGAATGAGTAAGTTACTGTCCCCTCCTCTTATATTTTTTGTAAGGATTTAAGAAAAGCTGGCATTAAATCTACTTTATACATTTGGTAAAATTTAACTGGTGTTAAATCTACTTTATATGTTTGGTAAAATTTAACTGTTGTTAAATCTACTTTATATGTTTGGTAAAATTCACTAGTGAAGCCATCTGGGCCTTTTCTTTATGGGTCATTTTTTATTACTAATTCAATCTCTTTACTTGTTATATAGGTCTATCCAGATTTTCTATTTCTTCTTCATTTTAAGAGCTACTTATGATCTGGCAACCTCGGTGTGGCACAGGAAGTACATTGTATTCCCAAATACTAAAGCTCTTAATTTACCCATCTAAACTACAATTGCTATATTGCGGATGAGGAAATGGAGGATATGTAACTTTGAATAAACTCTCCTGATTTCTGAGTGCCAAGCCTAAACTCAACTTACAAACTGAACTCTCTCACACCCTTCTCAGATGAATTACTGGTTGCCATTATTTTCCCAATATTTCTCATGAACAAATGTGGTAGGAAGTTGAGCAAATAGGGTCATGTGCACTCTGGTGACAAGGAAACAAAAACCCGGAGGAATGTTTTTACCACTACCTTGAGGAATTTGATTAATGGTTCCACACATCTCCTATCTGCTCCTTGTCCTCTCTGTCTAGCACATGTTCATAAAACATGTTCATCTGCAAGTTTTCAAAAGGTACTGTATTTGTCATTATCTTCTTATGTGCTCAAAATAATAAAGCAAAATAATGAGACTGGAGTCTCTGGAGTCAGATCTACTACCTGTGTGACACTAACAAGTTTTGTAACCTTTCTGCATATACTTTAGTTTCTTACCCATAAAGTAGAGATGATAATAATCAGGATAAGCAAAAATACATGTAAAAGTACTTAGAATGATGCCTGGTACCTTTATTTACAATATTGAAGTAAACCATGCCAGCAACACATTTGATTTTACCCCCAACGATAGTTCCAGGTTGTTGTGATATAGAAAAGGAGAATACTTTCTATACTCCCTGAACTGAACATAAGCTCTTAAGAACCGAAAGTGCATAGGAGATCACATGAAAATGATAAATGTCTCCATTCTCAAGAAAGAAGTCAACCTGGCAGAAGAAAAAATGGATGGGACATAGTAGAGCATCATAGTTAAAAGCAAAGCTTTCAGAATCAGGCAGACTTGTGCTTCACCTTATGTTGGCTGTTACCTTGAACAAGACATTTAACTTCTCTAAGCCTCTGTTTACTCATTGGTAAAATGGGAAAAATAATACTGACTTTGAGGTTTAATAAGAATTAAGACAATATTTGCAAAGTACCTGGCACATAGTAGCCACCTAATATACAGGAACTGCTTTTATTAGTTTTCTTAATTTAGTTTCATAAGGAAAAAGGGACCTGAGGTTGTCCAGGGGCTATACTTGTGAATTACCTGAAGAGTTTTGAAAAAGTAAGGTTGCCTAGTCTGCACACCTCAGACAGAGTGAATCAGAACTCTGGGGTTGGGGCCTAGATGTCAGTGTTTTTAAAAGCTCTCCAGGTAATTGCAATGTGTAGTTGTGGGTGAGAACTATAACAGCTAGCCAGAAAAAGAAGTCCCAATTTTTATACCATCTGAAACTTATTTTTTGATTAACATCTACTCTCCTTATGAAATAAACTCATCAGTTCTACCCTCTCAAATCAGAATTACTCCTATCTCATGGTGAAATGGAAGATAAGAGAGTATAAACAATCTGTTTCTGAGAGAAACGGAGAGCCAAGTTTAAAACTCTCAACAGGCCCTGAAACCCACACCTCTTATTCAGATGAATTTCTAACTACCACTATTTCCTTAGCATGACTGCAAATGACTTTCCCCTCATTAAAATTCTTTAATCTACTTATCCTCTTAGAATCAAGCCCAGACTCCTCAACAGGATCACAACCTCAGACCCTGGCCCATACTATGCATGGTGAGGATGAGTCACATACACTCAAACTGCTCTGGTGCTGGTCTAAATAGCCAAACCACCAACCACTGAGGCAGACACTGTTCAGTCTCAATGGCTAGCTAACATGCTCAAGAGGGAACGGCATTAATTGAAATTTTTTATAATAAACCTTTGGGGGAAAAAATAAAGTAATCTCTGCCTCCATTCCTAAACCTGCCTTTCTTGCTAAATATTATTTAGCTACAGGATACCCAGCAACAACCTATCATAATAATTTTCCCACCGTCTGATAGCAGTGCCAGGACAGAGAGCATAAACCTGTTGTCAGCATAAGAAAGCACTAAAGAACCTTAGGGTCAGCTAACAAAAAGCAAGAAGCTCTGCCAATGGCCTGATACTGGGTTCCAACAAAATGCTAAGATTTCATCAGTTTTCTTTTACTTATACCATTTTCTATAGGTGAGGAGAATTGCTGTTCAGGTCTAAGAAGAGGAAGAAGAAAAAGATACTAGAAAGGGTGAGCAAGTTACAGAAGAGGGCACAGCAAGGATGGATCAAAAGTCAGAGGAGCTGAGTTACATAAATTCAGCTTGCTCTGGTGCTGGTCTAGCAGCCAAATCACCAACCAGCCACACGTGCTCAATTTCAGTGGCTACTTAATGTGTGCAAGAACACTGTTAACACTAAAGAAAAAGCCCCTGTTCCCAACGGCTATTCCCAAAAGACTGTGCAATCATAACTAGGCTCACTAGAAAAAATACTGACAAGGACATTAACTTTCGAAGTTCCACAGATGAAGAACCCTCATTTTCTGGCCCCTCTGTTCCCTCCTGTACAACATTCCTGAGGCAAAGAACTGTGATGTCAGTGCAGCTGACCTAAGCTCTGACACTGGCCATTACCTCTTGCTGCTTCTCCTCATTGGGGTAGGTGTCTATAAATACGCCCAGCCCCACAAATTTGTCCATGTTTCCAAACACAGGCCCTAGAGAGAGAGAACAGATGATGAACAATGAAATAAAGCCAAGAGTTGATAAAGGAGTAATATATCACTATGATGGAGGAAAAAGTGAAAATCAAATGACTTCTAGGCCTCTCTTAAGATGAGAAAGCATATGTAAAAGTATCCAGCAGAGTGTATGGCCTGTAACAAGTCCCCGGTAATATCTGCAGTTGTTTGTTGTTGATGGCAGGAAAAGAGAGAAGGCCACTGCAACCATGTTTAGCATTACGGCAGCTCCCTGATCCAAACTGGTTGCTAAGGCGTCCCTACAGAATTCTGCTTCACAAACACTTGGTAAAGACTATGCCCCCAAGAGAGAACTGAATTCCCAAGTTCCACTTCTAGTTTCAAAAGAGATCAGTTCAAATCAGGTTAAGCCTGCCATCTACTTGGAGCAATGGCTCCCACACAACAAGGAAGAATAGGTAACTCTTCTCTTGACTCAGCAGTGCTGAGATCGTTCACTGTACATGCCCAGAAGAAACCCGTTCACCCAATTATCAGTGCTTGGGAGAGCCAGTGCTTTCACCCAGCCTACAGGCCTGGTGGTTTCACAGGGAAACTCAGAAGGAACTAACAAGCAAGAAATTGCCCCAAGATGAGTCAAGTTCAGCTGTTTATTAGACTCAGACCCCATTCTAGAGACTGGACAGGCCATTGTTCAACGACAGGCATCAAGACAGAGGGAAAACTACTGGCATTGTGGGGAAGGACCCTTTTCAAAAAGAGGGCACCTGAAAAGGCAGGCCTGTCACAACCATGAGAGAGCACCCCAGGGTCCCAATACCTGGCTGCATCCGATCCTTTGTGTACCAGATTGCCAAGCCATCCCCATGCAGATTCTTCTTCCCTTGTCCATGGATTTTGAAGTGCACCTGCAACTCCCAGTCTCTCAGGAAACATGGCTAAAGTGAAAAAGACATGGGAATCAATGAGGAACATGACATGCAAAACCCCTCAAGCTTTGTCAGTCTACAGACTTGGAAAACATAAAAGTAGGTAACACGAGGCTAAGGGTTAAAACCAAAATTTAAGACTTGCTAAGTGTTCATGTCATAAAATCAAACAGATTGAGCCATTCAATGGCTTAAGGGATTTAATATGAAAATAAAACTCCCAATTATCTTCGGCATCTCCCAAAAGAAACAGAATTATACTCCAAAGCTGGAAAAGACAGAGTATGCCAAGTTAAACTATTGTGATCCTACATCCACCCAGCGAAGTATCTCAGCTTACAGAGTATACAGATGGCTAGATTAATACTCATTTACAACTTAAGACCACCTCCTGACAGAAAGATTCTAAAGTGCTTCGATTTAAAGAAAGGTCAAAGCCTCATTCATTATAAAAGAATAAGAGAAGCTAAGTCATTATGCAATGGTCTCCAGGAATAATTAACAGATGCTATAAACAACACTAATTAGCTAGACATGGCCCTCTGCCAAGCTGAGGGTCAAGCCAGAGTTCCCATGAGAATGGCAAGTTACAGTCCCCCAAACCCTCATGTCCATGGCCAAAAAGCATAAATGCACCAGAGGAAAACAACAGCATTCCCACCACAGGGACAGTCTCTGGTGGGAAAACATTAAGGAGATGGTACTGACCAGACTTGTTTTTCCTGGAAAAATGGAAGAGGCAAGTGGATGGTTAAGTGCTCTAAATAGCTGAACAATTTCAAGTAAAAACAGAACGGGTATTTGGTTCAGGGAAGCTTCTGGTTAAAGTCCACTGTGAAGAAAGAAGGGAAGGAGGAGCAGCTGGGTTCAGCCAAAGTCTCTCCAAATAGACTGTTCTGGCTCTTCAGCAACATATTGCTAGACCACTTTCAGTTTTCATTTTTAATTTCTGGGATATTTTCCAAAAGTGTTAGTATTGGGAGTACATAGTCAAAATGAAAGGGGGTCAGGTACTTCTGCATTTAGTAAGGAGCCCTGAAAATTGCAATAGCTTACCCTACTCTGATGAACCCGGTCCCTGTCATGTCACTTTGGGTTTTTATCTATCTGCTGTTTCATTCGGATCTCAGGGCAAGAGTAAAATATAGTGGCAGGAAGCTGTCGCATAGCCAATAGTAGGTATTACGTCCCTGGGAAGAGGGCAAAGCAAGAAAGGTTCACACTGAGCCAGGAGGTGTCTGCTATTGATTCCTGGCTTCTTGGCCTCTTATGGCACAATGCTATATACAGTTTTACTCTAGGCTACATCTAACAGTGGTTCTGAAACTTTGCTATTGGACTCACCTGGGTAGCTTTAAAAATCTCAATGGCCAAGGGCTGGCCAGTAGCTCAGTTAGTCACAGTGTGGTGCTTATAACACCAAGGTGCAGAGTTCAATCTCTGTACCAGCCAGTAACCAAAAAAAAATTCCCAACAGCCAAACCACATCCTATTTCAAGTAAATCAGAATCTCTGGGCATGGGACACCAGGCATCAACTCCAATGAACAGCCAAATTTGAGAACCACTGCTCAAACAATACACCCTATACAAATAACTCCACAGCTCATTCTGATAGCCGGATAACAGAGAATACAGGTATCAGAGAATCTAAAAAAGGGCAAGAGAACTAGATCCTAGGCTAGAATTGCTGCTAACAGGGTTATGTAGAGATAAAGAGCTAGCAAGACAGCAGCAAAGTACCAAGCCTTGGCCATAATCATTTAGTAACCAATAAGAGCTTCATCAATGAAACATATAACAGGTGAAATTACATAACACATATACCTGGAACCACTTTAACTTTCCACAGCCTTCTCATATCTACTATCTTATTCTCATAACAACCCTGGTGGGCAAGTATTATGAAGCTCATTTGACAGATGGAAAAACTGAAAACTGAGAGGTTGAATAACCTGCCTAGGGATCTGTGACAGAGCTAGAGCTAGGATCCAAGTCTTTCAACTGCCCTTTACGTCTTCTACCAGGACACGATGCTCTGCATTCTGTCCAAAACCGAGCTCAGCACTACAATCTGGGTTAAGGGGCCAGCCTATGCAGATACCTCATGTAGAAACTTCTCTTACGCCTCTGCTCCTTTGAAATTCTCTGCCACAGAAAATGAATAGGGAAAAGAAATAGTTCTCTTTCCTGAAGTTCTCTTATCTACAACTAATGAGAAAAAACATGTAAAAGTAAGTTCTTAGCTCATGAGAGCCCATGACAAAGTACCAAAGGATGCCAGGGTCATTCCCAAAAGTAAAGTGGTCATAAAAGAAAGAGCCCTGGAAACCAAAAAGAAAGTATCATCTTACACTTGTACAAAATCAGAATGCAGTCTCACCAGGAATACTGCATTCACGTCTTGCCACCATACCTCAAAAGGAAGACAATGTAGCTAGAAAAGGTCCACAGAAGGACAAATAAAATGAACAAAGGCTCAGAGTGGCTTTCACATGAAAATAAAATTTTAAATTAGCCTATTTAAACTGAAATTAAGAGGGAGGATACTGGGATAAAGTTTGGGATAAATTTAAAAGAGTAGTCTTCTACTTTACATAGCAAAGGAACTAAACAGGAGTTAAGTTATTAAACCCCAAGAAGTAGTACTATCAGGTCAGTCAGGAATTAAAGACATTTCAGAAACAGATTCAAAATGAATTATTTGGGGTGGCCATTTAGCTCAGTTGGTTACAACACGGTGTTATAATACCAAAGTCAAGAGTTCGGATATCCACACCGGCCAGCCGCAAAACATAAAACAACAAAAAAGAATCATTTGCTATAATTAGGGCAAAAGAGAGCATTTCCCTAAATATCTGATTTCTTTATTATGAAGGTCACTGTAATCTCTGAAGTAAAGATCTTTAATATCTACTGAAGACAGAATATTGGGGATAGACAGTAAAATTAAGTCAATATCCCACTGCTGAACTTTTTAGGACTTTCTGGGTCACCAATACAAGAGGGAAAAAGATTCTTACCACCCGGTTCCACAGGGCACCCTGTTTACTTTGCATATCTGGGGTAAGTCGGATATACTGGGTCATCACCATGGCATTGCCCATCAGATTCCACAGTGAGGAACTGCCTGTGCCCACACCTATGAGGAGGAAGTAGATCAGTTCATATTCTTCAACACCAACCTGTTCAGAAAGCCACCACAGATCCTCCGAAAGCTGGAGCCACCATCTGTTTTTCCCTTTCATGTCACTCAATCTCCCACCTTCTGTCACTCCTAAATGTTAAATTGTTGCCATCTTTACAGCTTCCTTTCACAAGGCCCTTCTCAGGTGAAAACCCCAAAAAGCACATCAGAGCTATCACTTTATGTACACCACAGTAACCATAGCTCAAATCCATTCTTCCCATTTTATTTGTGAGTAAACTTTAGCACCATGTAAGAAAATAAATTTCCCCAGTTATACCAAGAGCTTGACCCTCAGGCTTCTGAGGTTTAATCACATTCTTTCCTTAAATAATCCTTCAAGTGTGAAGCTACTTCTCTCCCAGTTCCCCAGACTATAAACTCCTGAAGACTAAAAACTTTTTATAACCTACAGTATTAGCAAAGAGACCAGCTCATAGGAGGCACTAAATGCATCTGCTCAGTGAATAAACGATTACCCTTAGTAGTAGAGTATATTTTATAGTACTTTGAGTGTTTGTTTGCTTGCTTGCTGTTCCCCTATTCACACCTCAGCGGGGAAACAGACTTGTGTTAAGCCATCTGCACTGATCTGTCTGTCCTCTTTGTAGCTAACTCTATCAATTTTCAGGCCGATAAACTGTGCTTAGGGGTGGGTCTATGAACCCTGAACAGAGCAAAGCTAACAAGCCTCTTTCATCAATCGGGCTCCTGGACTGCAGAAGAGCAGGTGTTCTAACCGGCAACAGAATTTTATCTCCGTTCTCACTCCAGCCACGTTCTACCCTCGTTCTTTCTCCTGCTTTAACTCCAGACCTATCTGGAGACGGCTCATTGCTGGTGGCGCTCAATCACTCCTCACCATTCTCAGCTCTTTCCCTTCCCACAATTCTCCTGCCCAACTCTGAGCTCCCCTTCGTCCAGGTCTAGCGCTCGTGGCATGCAGAGCCCGACCTGGATCTGCTGGAAACTTCCAGCGCTTGGAAGCGGGGAGGAGAGGGCAGCTGATCCCCACCCTTCGGACCTGCGGCTCCCAAACGCGGTGGAATTCCCCGTTGGTCCCCACTACCACCTGCAGTTTCCTCGGGGCAACGAAGTCGTTCGCCGGCCCCGCCGGTACAGATGAGCTCAGGTCCCGAAACCCTCCCCCTGCACGACCACCTCGCCCCGGGCGCCTCACCCTGGTAGGGCTTCGACAGCGAGTGTTCTCGTTTCAAGTACTCGAACGTCTGACCCGCCCCGACTTGTCGTGGCCCTTGCCCAGACCCCAACAAAAGGAGAAGGAGCAACATCTTGGACCCATCCCGAGCCGACAAACGCCGCCGCCACCGCTGCCACCACCCTGACGGTCCCACGGTGGCCGCCATCTTTCCCTCCGCCGTCCCTTCATCAAAGGCCCGCCCCATCGCCCAACCCATTGGCCTGTAGAACCATCTGCCCGCGTCTCATTGGCTCTTGTCGAGTCCCCGCCCCCGCAGGTTGAGCTTCTCACCGATTGGCTGGCTTTGGTATCAGTTGCCTTGCCAACCCCGGAAAGGCGCGTGGCCGAATGCCCGGTTTCCCTTATTTGCATTTGTCCCGAGCTTCACTAGGCCTGCTGGGATTACCAAGTGACTTCTATTTTGATTCTGCATTCTAGAGTAAATTTAAGGAGATAAAAGGTTTCTTCCGGTCCCAAGCAAACATTCTATCTCTCTGCCATAGTATCCTCCTGGCTGTGCGGAGCTCTCAGGAGGATGCAGAACTGAAAGAAGAATTTGACAAATCCGCAATTAAAGTAGCTGGAAAATTATCAAATTTATAAAAGACGTGAACAGCACCATCAACCAACTGGACCTGATGACATTTATAGAAACCACCCAACAACATCCAGTGTAAATGACACATTTGCCGAGATATTCTGGGTCATAAAACAAACCACAAATGAAAAATAATTGAAAGCACACAAATTAATTAATTAATTCTCAAAGCCATCACTTCCTTTTCTTCCCTCCCTTCATCTTTCTCCAGAACCACAACATGTGTGCTGACTGGTCTCCTGGCCACCATCCTCCACATGACCACCAAAGTGACCTAAAGCATCTAGCCATAGTTACTGTCAGGGTTAAATGCGTCAATATTGGTAAACCTCTTAGAATAGCCCCTGGCATGTAATAAGCACTATTTCATCATCATCATTGTTATTAACAGGGCTCTCGATAGTTTACCATCACCTGTGAGGAGGAAATTCAAACTCCTCAGCTTGGCACACAAAGCCCTGTGCCAACTGGCCCTGATCCTCCCCTGGCCTTATTGCCCACAGCTCCTTTCCTCCACCTGTATGTTCCAGTTTCCTCTCTTCCCCCTTTTCTCCAGCCCACTTGGTTCTGGAGTCCTTTCTTAGCTTCTTCAGGCCAGGGTAAGTGCCCCTCTCTGAGCCCTCAATGTGCTCAATGCACATCTCTTACAGCGCACTTACCAGATCTGTGTCTATGTCTTCCCAACAGATTTAACCAAGGTTCGCGCTCTCTTTCTTTCCTGAGCATAAATATATTTAGGAAGAGAAACATGAATATGGGCCTGCTTTACAGGGGCCAAGTATTTTAAATTAAAGCTGTCACAGCCATTGATCTTTTAACAGATGCCACACAAAGCAGCATAAATATATTTAGGAAGAGAAACATGAATATGAGCCTGCTTTACAGGGGACCAAGTATTTTAAATTAAAGCTGTCACAGCCATTGATCTTTTAACAGATGCCACACAAAGCAGACGTATGGTAAGATATTAGAAATTGCAGTGAATCTATTCATGTCAGACCCTGGCTTTAAAGCCATTCATGGCCCCTAGTTAACACAGGATAAAATCCAAACCCTTTTGCATAGCCCTCAAGGCCGTTCACAACCTAACTCAAATCAGTCTGTACACATGTCTATTATAATGTGTGTCACCTGGAATTATGTAGCTTAATTAGCAGATTATGTGTTTGTCTCCCCAGCAAGGCTGGGTGCTCCTGGACCACAGGAAACAGGTCTTACTCATTTCCTAAGGCAGGACCCACCCACTTTCCCATCCCCTAACCTATCACCCAGCACATAGTAGGAGTTCTAATTATTTTGAATAAAATTATTTACATTGTATTTCTCTGTCAGCTGGATTTTTTTTTATTGTGGTAAAAGGCACATAGAATAAAATTTAGTGGGCCGGCCTGGTGGCGCACTGCAGAGTGCGCCACTTGGGAGCGCGGCAGCGCTCCCGCTGAGGGTTCGGATCCCATGTGGAGACCGGTTCCCGCTCACTGGCTGAGCGCAGTGCAGGCGCGACACCGAGGGTTGCGATCCCGTTACCGGTCAGTAAAAAAGACAAAAAGGAAAAAAAAAAAAAGAATAAAATTTAGCATTTTAATCATTTTTAAGTGTACAGTTCAGTGGCATAAAGTACATTCAGTGTTGTGCAACCTGTCACCTGGTTTTCTGATAGATTAACATCAGCAGATCTTTCATTGTAACATTCTTTATGACAAAGAAAAGGGGAATAAAGGAGAAGGGTGTGAAAGGTGAAATGCACTGGACAATAAATTAAATGATTTGGTTCAGACTGTTGCAATACGGAGGATGCTTATTAATGAAGAATGTATCAAAGAAAAGGAAGAGGGCCCAGGGTTTCGGAGAGGCAGGTAAACAAAGGAGTCATTATGAAGAAGGACGGAGAGGATCTTATCTGAGTCACGGAGGAAGGGAAGAAGTGGGTCTTATTTTGGAATATTCTAGAGCAGGGTAGTCCTTTAAGACTAGCTATTTCTCAGGACACAAAATGGGGCAGGGGTGACACAAAAGGATGGGGGGATTTCTTTACTTGTAGCGGCTTTCCAGAAACAGGGCTCAGATAAGTTCAACACTGTCAAGGTGTTGAGGGGCAGTAGAGGGAAAGAGAGAAAAGAAGTCATGTCACCTCCAGCTCTGCCCCACTTACACACAGAGGCACCTTCTGAAAGCTGGATCAGGTCTTGACTTACTGTCCTTTCAGCTGCCTAAAATTCCCCTTTTTCTCCTTGAAATCATATCCCATGATCTCTGGCTGCAGAACCCCAAGGCAGGGACATTCATATATAATGCGAGTTGTGCATTCCAGCAGTTCTGGATGATTCCTCCACTTTCCTGTCTTCAAAGTGAAACAGGTATCTCCACTCAGGAGCACCATGAAGCCTGATATCCCTCGCCCCATGACAGAGCCTCCAAGGCAGCCTCTTGGCCCATCCTTTCCTCTCCCTCTCACCATTTCATTGCAGATCCACCTCCCTCACCCCAGGACCCAAAGCAGGGCCTAACATCAGCCCCCCTGAAGCCAGTACAACCATCCCTCCCTCCTTGGGATCCAGTGAGGCCTGAGTCAGGTCTATTGTCAGTCCCATAGTCACAGCTGACTGGGTCCCACCTCTCTGTACCTCCAATTCTCCAAGCAGACCATGGAGGATAGAAGAGGACAGTAGATGTAACATTAACTAGCCAATTACTTCCCACTGCTGACTTCTCAATACTGGCCTCCCAACAAACCACAATCAAATATCCTGGGGTACCTCTGAAATACACAGATGTCTGGGCCCTAACCCCAGACATTGAGTCAATAGGTCTGGGGAAGAGTCTGGGGATTTGGTTCTGAAAATCTCCCCCTGCAGAATTTAATATGCAACCCAATATTGAGAATTACAACCCTTTCACATTCAGTATCTCATTTTGACCTCACAATGGCTTGGTGTGGTGGACTTTAAGGTTAGGACATTTGTACAGAGTTCATAGAATACATTCCTGATAGTACAACACCTGAATTTAGAAATAAGATTTAGAGATTTGCTTTAAAATATTGTGGGAGGGCCGGCCCGGTGGCGCACTGGATAGTGTGCCGCTTGGGAAGCGCGGCGGCGCTCCCGCCCAAGGGTTCGGATCCCACATACGGACCGGTTCCCGCTCACTGGCTGAGCGAGGCGCGGGGGCAACACCGAGGGTTGCGATCCCGTTGCCGGTCCCCGGTCCAGTACGGGGGCAACACTGAGGGTTGCGATCCGTTGCCGGACACGGAAAAAGACAAAAGACAAAAAAAATAAAAATAAAAATATTGTGGGAGAAAATTGTGTGTGTGTGTGTTGAAGGGAGGGTAGGATGATGAAAAAAAACCCAGCAGAATGTTGATAACTGTTGAAGCTGGCTTATGAGTACATGGGATTCCTTCTAGCTTTGTGTACGTGTGAAAGCTGCCATAATAAAAAGGCTTTTAAAATTCTCCCTTGGAGATGATTAGGAAATGTGCTGAGTGTGCATTTGTGGTGTTTTCTAAATTTCCCCTAGGCAATGAAAACTGTAATTAACTATAATCTAGTAAAGTTCATTATGACCCATCCAATGTAATGTCATAACTAAAGAGAGAAGAGTCTGCAATCTAGAAAAAGAACAGTCAAGGGATGAAAATATGTCAGAGTTATATCAATTCTATCCAGAGGAGAGAGTATTTCTAAGTACTTGTGTTGGGTCTCCTTATAACTTTATTCAAATCAAGCCTTTTCTTCTAACATCATAAGGAGGACTTCCAGCCTAACATTCTAGCCTCTTAGTTTAATTTCTCATTATAAATTAAGAAATTAGTATTTGGGTTTATCACTTAGTTTACTTGTTAGTTTAATTAGGGTTAACTATCCTCCCCAATTTGTTTATCCATCAGTGAATTGATAAAAATCAATACCCTGAGGACCAGATCTCAGATCTATTGTGGCTCCATGGAGCGGCAGAACTCCCACGAATTAGGGACTTCCTCTAAGGATGCATATACCTGCTTGCTGCAGTTGGGGCATCTGACTCACTGAGGATTGGAGAATGGGGCAGGGAAGGGAGGAGAACTCTGGCATATTTGAGTGGACTGAAACATCTGCCTTTTTGAGATCCAGCTCTACTGTATGACCTTGGGCAAATTACTTGATCTCTTTGAGCCTCAAATTCTCTATCTATAAAATGAATGTGATGAAACCTAACATACTGGATCGTGGAGAACAAGAAATGAAACACTGCTTGAAGGCTGCACATCACACTGAAGACTCTAAACAGTTCCATGTTTGTACAGCTTTTTATGATTTGCTTACTTGTGTTCTGAAATGTGCTGTGGGAAAGCGGGTTTGGTCCTTTTAGAAGAAAGCATGTGCATCAGCAGTAGGCTTATAAATGAAGAAGCCACTGGCTGACTTGGGGACACTGCTCAGGGATCTGGGGTGCAGGGTAGAAGTGAGTGATGTGCAGATCCTATCACTGGGGTCTGTAATTAGAAACATCATAAACTATAGCTTTGAAGGTTAAACAGCTAAGAAAGGTTTTGGTGGGTACA